AAAGGAAGTGAAGATGTGGCTTTGGGATCAAGTCTTCGGAGACTAATTGTAGTGCAATAGATGGATATAGAATATGGGCAATGACTATTGGAATGGCCTCGAATTACGATTGTGAATGGTGTGGTTTTAATAGTGAATGTAATGTTTTAAAATGTTTTAATGTGTATTAATTTTAATATTAATGTTTATTTTAATTGTATGTTGTTTTTAAGGCATTGAATAGTTTCCTATGTGTAAACCTGCCTTGAGTTCCCTTCGGGGTTAAGAAGGATGTGGTATAAATATGGCAAATAAATAAATGATTGTATCTCATAATATATCTACAGAGTGGGCCAAAAGTCACAAAGAGGTTTAATATGCAATAACTAATTGTTTTGTTTTTAATTACAACACCATAGCATCATACATAATATATATAGGAAATGGAATTACATTATATTATGCGTAAAGCTTTTTCGCCTTTACAACCTTTGGCCTACCTTGTACAGGCGTTCCAAAATCTCAAACGTGGAACACTTCTGGTCCCAAGGGTCTTGAATAAGGGCCGCTCAACCTCTACTGCTGCAGAAATTACATTTTGCACATGCTCAAAGAGACCCTTTCTCTTTCACAGGACTGAATGTGAGTCAGGAACTGAGGGTGCATCTAGACTGGGCATGGGCAAACTTCGGCCCTCCTGGTGTTTTGGACTACAACTCCCACAAATCCTACTGGCTGTTAGGAATTGTGGGAGTTGTAGTCCAAAACACCTAGAGGACCAAAGTTTGCCCATGCCTGATCTACACTGTAGAATTAATGCAGTCTGACACTACAGGGCATCCCAAAAGTCTCCATACATAGGGAAAATGGGAAATTGTAGCTAAATGTACCTTTAATTAAAATTTTTATAAAATATTTATTTTTATGTATAACTCATATCTATCTCTGAAAGTATAAAAATATTTAAAATATATAATATATAATATGATTTTGTTAATTTTTTCTATGTATGGAGATACTTTATTTTTATTTATCGTATCAGAAGTGAACGGAGGGTACAGTTGTAGTGTATTTAAGAACAAAACAAAGTTAAAAAATATGTCATTATACTAAATGTCTTTTGACCAGTAACGAGCCACTTGGAGTGCCTCTGGTGTTGCTATAAGAAGGTCATCCATTGTGCATGTGGCAGGGCTCACACTGCATTGTAATAGGTTGTCTATAGTTTGGTCTTCTCCACACTTGCATGTTGTGGACTCCACTTTGTGATCAGGTTGTGGTGCACTACTGACTGAGAGGTCATGAGTTCGAAGCAAGCCCGGGTTGGATGGAGCATCCAGCCATTTTTCTGGCTTGCTGACGATCTTTGCAGCCTGAAAGACAGTTGCATCTGTCAAGTAGGAAATGTAGGTACTGCTTATGCAGGGAGGCTAATTTCACTAATTTACGACGCCATAAAACTCTCCAGCAGCGTGCAAAAAGAATGAGGAAGTACTCCATCGGTGTCACAAATGGATGGTGAAGAGACAGCTCCCCCGGTGGCTGGAATTCAAAAAGCATACCCTTATGAAGCTGGAAAGTTAAATAGCCTCTGTGTCTCTGTCTATATATGTTGTATGTCTATGGCATTGAATGATTGCTATGTATATGTGCATTGTGATCTGCCCTGAGTCCCCTGCGGGGTGAGAAGGGTGGAATATAAATGCTGTAAAAAATAATAATAATAAATTTCTTGTGGTGCCGGAGTGCAGTCTGTTCAGTGCCTTCCAAGTTGCCCAGTTTTCTGTGTGCCCAGGAGGGAGTCTCTCATTCGGTATCAGCTATTGATTGAGGTCCTGGGTTTTAGCCACTTTTGTACTCTTGCTTTGCTGAGGTGTTTCTGTGAGTATCTGCAGATCTTAGAAAACTATTTCTTGATTTAAGGTGTTGGCACGCTGGCTAATATCTGAACAGGGGATGGGCCAGAGATGTCACTGCCTTGGTCCTTTCATTATTGGCTGCTACTTCCCAGCAGATATTAGGTGGTGCAGTATTGGCTGAACAGTATAATTTCTTCAGTGCTGTGGGACATAGATATCCTGTGATAATGTGGCATGTTTCATTAAGAGCCACATTCACAGTGGAGCCCCTGGTGGCATAGTGGATTAAAGCGCTGACTGAAAGGTCACAGGCTTGAATCCGGGGAGCGGTGTGAGCTCCCGCTGTTAGCCCCAGCTTCTGCCAACCTAGAAGTTCGAAAACATGCAAATGTGAGTAGATAAATAGGCACTGCTCCGGTGGGAAGGTAATGGCGGTCAATGCAGTCATGCTGGCCACATGACCTTGGAAGTGTCTATAGACAATGCTGGCTCTTTGGCTTAGAAATGGAGATGAGCACCATACCCCACACAACTGGACTTAATGTCAGGGTTAGACTTTTACTGCAATGCTCTCTATGTCGGGATGCCTTTGAAGACCTCTCAGAAGCTTCAATTAGTCAAACGGTTGGCAGCCAGGCTACTCACTGGAGCGGCGTACAGGGAGCGTACAACCCCTCTGTTACGCCAGCTCCACTGGCTGTCGATCAGCTTCCGAGCACAATTCAAAGTGCTGGTTTTAACCTTTAAAGCCCTGAACGGTTCTGGCCCACATTACCTGTTACGAACCACCACAAAGCTTAAGATCATCAGGAGAGGCCCTGCTCTCGATCCCACCACTCTCACAAATGTGGTTGGTGGGGACGAGAGACAGGACCATCTCGGCAGTGGCCCCCCGTCTGTGGAACTCTCTCCCTAAGGACATCAGGTTGGCCACCTCCCTCCTGACCTTTAGAAGACAATTGAAGACTCGGCTTTGATTAGTGGCCAGTGGCAATCGGAAAGAAAACCTAAGATATCTGCGACACTGGGTTTACCTGACTGGATTTGGTTTTAATTGGCATGTTTAATTTATCGTTTAATGAATAGTATAATATGTTTTAATGATTTTTAATGTTTTACATGTAATTTTTTGATTGTTTAAATATTGATAGCATCACATGATGCTTGTGTGAGGCCACCCTGAATCCCGCTTCGGGGGGAGAAGGGCAGGGTAGAAATACATGAAATAAATAAACAATAAATTTACCTCTCCAAACTTTTTGGAGAGTGACCATAGGTTTTTAAATGCTGTATGTTATTGTTATTGTTTATTGCTTATTGTGTATTTTTTGTTTTTGAGTTATATTTTAACTATTTTGTATTGATTATTGCCTTTGTTTATTGATGTGCTGTGGGCTTGGCCTCATGTAAGCTGCACCGAGTCCCTTGGGGAGATGGTAGCGGGGTACAAATAAAGTTTTATTATTATTATTATTATTAACCTTCACAGCTTTAACGTGGTGAGATGTGTTCCACATTGGGCATGCGTACTTTGTAGCAGAGTAGCAAAGCGTAGCAAAAACACTTGTATGGAGATGTTTTGGGGTACCCAGTACTTTGCCATGGTTGAATGTACAGAGTGAGGCAGCATAACTTCCTTTTTTATAATGCGTGCCATTCAGTCGGTTGAAGACGAGCGGAGTGCTAGTGGTCTCGTTCGATACGCGGGAGTATAAAGTTTTGTCCTGACACAGTTCATGCGTTGGAACAGTGAGGAGCGTGCTTTTGCCATTGAGGCCTACTTTTCGAGCGGATTTGGAGTGGCCGGCCCACTCTCCAGATTTGGCCCCTTGTGATTTTTTTCTATGGGGTTTTTTGAAATCCCGTGTTTATGTGAACCGTCCAAGGACCCTACAAGATTTGAAGACCAACATCCAGGAAGAAATTGCCAACATAACGCCTGCTATGCTGGCAAGAGTGATGACAAACGCCAGAAATCAGTTTAAGCAAACAGTATGTTGGCGCCCCCCCCAACCAATCACTGATATATATTTTCTGTTCATTGTGGGAGTTCTGTGTGCCATATTTGGTTCAATTCCATCATTGATGGAGTTCAGAATGCTCTTTGTGTGGGCAAGTTTGGTTCAATTCCATCAGTGGTGGAGTTCAGAATGCTCTTTGATTGTAGGTGAACTATACATCCCAGTAACTACAATTCACATATGTCAAGGTTTATTTTCTCCCAAGAGTGCCTCAAGCGCGCCCCTGGGTTTTTGTTTTTTTTTTTTTGTGTGTGTCAGGAGCAACCTCTCCTGTTGTGAGAGAATTGGCCGTCTGCAAGGATGTTGCCCAGGGGACGCCTGGATGATTTTTGATGTTTTATCATCCTTGTGGGAGGCTTCTCTCATGTCCCCGCATGAGGAGCTGGAGCTCATCCGCCTCTCCCCGGATACGAACCTGCGACCTGTCGGTCTTCAGTCCTGCCGGCACAGTGCTTTAACCCACTGCGCCACTGGGGGCTCTGCCCTGCGCCCCTGGGTAAAAGCAACTATACTGCAAATGCTTACTTTGCATAATGGGTTGAGCCATCCCTGTATGCTGGCAAGAGTCATTGCAAACGCCAGAAATTGGTTTACTCAGTGTATGGAGAATGGGGGATGTCACCTACCTAATTTGATCTTCAAAACTACGTAAAACAAAACTTTAGGTATGCGCCTACATTATAAATTTTTTTTCTGATTCATACAATGGGTTTTATTAAGTTTTGAAAAAAAGGAAGTTATGCTGCCTCACCCAGTAGTTTCACAGGGTCTTTAGCTATCTCTGCCCAAGAGTGATGGTGCTTCAGCACAACTGGAGCATCACCAAAACGACAGCTCCCTGATTCCATTCCTTGGAGCCATAGCAGTTCAAATGTTGCTTAACTGTGTTAATTCTGCAAGGAAGTATTGGGGCTCCAGCCCTCCTGAAACTTCTTCAGCCCGTCGCCGCCCTCTTCCCCTTGCCTCGCGTTCCTCCCTTGGCTCAGACTCCCCCTGCTCCTGCTTGCTTGCCTTCCTTCCCCCTCCCTCTATTCACTCACCCACCCACCCTGATTCTTATGGAAAACGCGGCGTTGAGGCGGTGCCATAGTAACTGGCGGGGGGTCGGGGCGGCTGAGTCGGGGAGGCCCCGGCTGGCGGGTGCCACAGCGCCCCCTGCCTGCGGTGGGCGGGACGGCGCGCTCCTCGGCCAGCAGCAAATGGCTCTGGAGTTGGAGGCTCCTTTGTGTGAAGCAGCGGCGGCAGGCACACTCGCGGAGGAGCCCCACGCCGAGCGAGCCCGTGCTTTCCACGCTGCCTCGCGGGGGGGAAGCCCCACCAGAGCCTCGTCCCCCACGGCCGGACCGGAGCTTGCCCTCCATCCCTTCCTTCCTTCCCTTTCCCAAGGCTGGGGAGAGAAAGACGCAGAAAGAGAGAGAGAGAGAGAGAGAGAGAGAGAGAACAGACGGGGAGGGAGAGAAAGGAAAGAAGAGAGCGAACTCTCCCCAAAGAAGTCCGCAAAGGGAAAAAAGAAGAAAACTCCGGGAAGTTACCTGCCCGGCGGGAGGAGACCTTGCCACCCCTTGGCTCCCTATTTTGGGGGGAGAGGGGCAGGTTTTTCTCCCTCTCTCTTCCACGGAAGGGTTTTTGTTGTTGTTGTTGTCCTAAACTCAAATCCTTTTGGGGATTTTTCGGGTCCTGTTTTGTTGGGGTTTTTGTGCATTGATTTCCCCAACTCCTCTCGCTTTATTATTTATTATTTCTTCTCCTGCTTGAACATCACCAAGAAAGAGGGGCAAGGGAAGGCGAGGAGTTGGGCTTGATGTGCTAGTGTGCCATGGACGTACGGTTCTACTCGCCGCCGCCTCCTCCTCCTCCTCCTCCGCCGCCGCCTCCTCCTCCTCCCGCTGCGCCCCCATCCCAGGCTGCTGCCGCCACCGCTCCCGAGGCGCCTTGCCTGGGACCTTCGCCCTGCCTGGACCCCTACTACTGCAACAAGGTGATCCGCCAACCCCTTGCGGGGCTTCTCCTTCCTCCTTCCCRCCCTTTGGCTCGGCTCGGGGCTCGGCTGCGGGAGGAGACTTTCCACACCGGAGCAGGTTGCACGCGGGAGGGGAGGGGAGGGGATGGGGTGCCTTGGGAATCGCTTTTTCTTGCCGGGTGTTTATATTGTGGGAGCTCCAAGTGCCCGTTGTGTTGTGGGGCGGGGGAGAAGGAGCCTGCCACCGAGGTGGGGAGCCCCTCGCCTTCCGTCCCTCTCTGGGATCATTCTTTGGGCGCCTCTGGAAAAGCCAACCCCGCTCCGTATCATTGTCGGAGGGTTTCATGGCTTGTAAGTTTTTCTGGCTCCAGAAGCATTCTCTCCTGACGTTTCGCCTGCATCTATGGCAGACATCCTCAGAGGTTGTGAGGTCTGTTGGAAACTAGGAAAAACTCTTTGGAGAGTGACCATTTATCCCCTTTCTGTCTGTTCCATCTACAGTGCTGTCCTTATGATGCACTTTCCCTCCCTCCTAAATTGAAGGCCTAACTGTACTGTTCGTCCTTTTTGGGCTCCTCTCAAATACACTTTTTCTACTCCTACCTCATCCAGGGTTTTATCATTTTATCTTGTCCATTTGGCCTGCCCATTGTGTTTGATTTTCTATTATGCTATTTTGCTTTGTTTACTTTATTTTGCCACTGTATGTACTTTCTTGGGATGTAATTTTTGTTGCACTTTATTTTGCTGAATTGTATCTTTGGCTTGGCCACATGTTAGCCGCCCCGAGTCCCCTTTGAGGTGATGGTGGTGGGGTATAACGTTAATAATAATAATAATAATAATAATAATGTTGTTGTTCATTCGTTCAGTCGTCCAATAAACTTTATACCCCACCACCATCACCTCAAAGGGAACTCGGGGCGGCTAACATGTGGCCAAGCCGCATATATAAACCCCATTATTAAAATGGGGTTTGTATATCTGTGGAATGTTAGCAGAATCCCAACAAAGGATTCCCCCAGACTTTGAAACTCCTAGGCCATTAAATGCTATTCAAGGTGGCCAGTTGAACCATTCAGACCTACCTCAAACAGACAAGAGTTCTTTCTCCCACCTTGGACATTCCACAGATACATAAACCCTGCTTTCCTAGTTTCCAACAGACCTCACAACCTCTGAGGATGCCTGCCATAGATGTGAGCAAACCGTCAGGAAAGAATGTTTCTGGAACATGGCCATAAAGCCCAAAAAACTTACAACAACCCAGCCCGGCTCCACTGGCATGGCTCTGGGTCCTGTCATGGGAGGAACCTTGGAAAGCCAGGCAGGTGCCTTTGCAAGTAGTTCTGCTCTATGCTTGAGATGCTCATTTGCGGGAGATTTAACATCATCATCTCCACCTAAAAAATAAACCCCAGCACCCTCTTTTTTGTCACTTTCATGGTATCCATCCAGCCTGCAGCAGGGTCAATTCCTTTCCATGCCAGCTCTTCAGAAAAGCCCGCGCCTGAAATGTTTTGGTGGGAGTGGGACTGTGAGAATTTCAAAAATCTTATGACAAGTTTATATTGAAGCGCCCAAGGACTCAAGCTGGACTGCTTCCCTCTGTAAACTCCATTCAGTACTTCGAGACACAATTATGAGTCATTTTTCAAAAAATGTTTTCTCCAGATCAAGAAGGAAGGCAGGATTTCTAAAATAGGGATGGACATATAGCCAGGAGAGGAGTAGTGCTCTAACCATGCCATCTTAGCCATGCCTTGTTGTTGTGCATTTTCAGTTTGTTTCCAACTTATGGCAATGCTGTCCTGGGTTTTCTTTGGTGAGATTTGTTATTGGGAGAGACTTGCCATTGTCTTCCTTTGGGGCCGAGAGAGCGTGACTTGCCCATTATTTCCCAGTGGGAGGATTTGAACCCTGTTCTTAAAACACTTCCTCAGGCTTGCTTTCATTTATGTGTTGCTGTGTACATTCAGAAGCATGTCTCACTAAACTTAGTCAACTCACTAAGTTAAATGGGACCTATTCCAGGGTGTGCCATAGGATGCTATCCAAAAGGTTCTATGTTTTTGTTTTGTTCCTTTACACTTCATGCTTTACTTTATAGGATGCACATCTTCTTTACCCTTTCTCCTCCATTTGCTGTTGTGGAACAGGCACCCATTGGTCATGGAAAATGTTTAGGAAGTATAGGCTTTCCAAAACACTATTTGAAACAACCCACGAGGGAAGAGTAAACAGAGCTGTGAGCCAACCTTCCTAGTAAGATTCGTTTAAACCCCGGTGCCTGCTAGGCTTTTGTTTAAGAGCTTACTCTGGAAGGCTGGCACTTTTTCAGGCAGCACCAGATGGGTTTGTGTATGTGAGTGTGTGCATGGCACGATATAAACTCTTATCTTGTACAGACAATACTGCACTTTTTTTTTTTGTGGCTTGGAGATGATTCTGTGTTTGGTTATTGCTTTACAAGGGAGAAGGAGTGATCGATGGCTAGAATGTCTCTTGCAAAAAGGGCTGTGTATTCACTTGGAGGGTATAAACCAGGCATTGGCAAACTTCTGCCCTCCCGGTGTTTTGGACTTCAACTCCCAAAATTCCTAACAGCCGGTAGGCTGTTAGGAATTGTGGGAGTTGAAGTCCAAAACACCAAGAGGGCGGAAGTTTGACCATGCCTCGTATAAACCTTACTGTTGTGTTTTTGTCCATTACCATGGGTGTGTATTTATGGATTACTTCAAGCACCCTGAAAAAATGCATCCAGATATGAATGATGTAACTAGAGTTCCGCTTTGCTATTTGCTTCAAGAACACAACTGGTGCACTGTCCGAAAACACCTTCCACTTTTGAGGAATTTTCCAGCACTACTGTATCTTGTCATTCCTAATGTGTAGAACCCATTTCTATCTGAGATTAATGGCACAAGAGACCAAACGTATTCTTATAGCTTCATTAGTGTGGATGTTCCATAACTAGATTTGTGGACTGCAAACATTTGGGCTGTAGTACCTATCCCTTTGGTGAAAATCTTGCCTATAAAAGTTTTCTGTAGGTACATTGTAGTGGAAATGGAAACAGAAGCTCCAAGTTTACATGACAGAAATGTGCCCTCCCACTTTGTGGGCTAAAGGCTCTTTAAGCACTCAGCAATGATGATTATATGGAACTCCCTTTGTCCTGTGACTTGCCACTATAAAATATAATCTCTGTTATCTTTTATTGTGAGTTGTAAGCCTGCCATGCTGAAAAGTAAAGAAGCACTGGGTAGAATTAATGACATAAGCGCCAAAGTGCCCCAAGAGCCATTTGGCAGTGAAAACTGGACAAATGGTTATTAAATCTATCTGTGATTTAAAGCTTCAAAAAGAAGGTAATGGCTTGAATATACATTTCGCTCATCACACTCAAGATGGTGGGCCAGATTTAATTTAAAAGTTAAATGCATTGGAAAATCAGGAAGTACATTAATATATTAAATCGTTTTCCAGTTAAGTGTTCTAAATTATTTTGGATAGATATCACTCTTCATTGAATCAATTAATTTAGAGGGCTTTTTTCCCACCCTCTGTTCCAGGCACTATTCTTTTAAACAAGCTGGTTAAATCCCATCATAAAGAAGAAGCAAACTTTTCTCTGAGTATGCAAATGTGACACTCTATTTAACTTAGCAAGGATTAACAGTGGATTTTTGAAATGTACCTTTGAATAACTTTAAAAAAAGCCAGCTCAGGAGTGACATACCAGGAATGTTTCTCACAAGGCCACATTCTTCAAGCAGTGCATATCTCTGTCAAGCAGCCCTGCCAGTGACCATTGATTATAGTAAATAGACTTAGAGTAGCTTTGCTGGCTGGGTCCCTATGAGGCCTGTGTTGAATGAACATCTCATTTCTTCCACCCCCCTCAGCCCATCCATCCAAACTCATTAAAATTGCCTTAATTTCATAGCATTCTGCAAAAACACACCTTACTTAATCTTTTTCATAAACTGACGGTGAACTTTTTCCTTAATGCTTCATTGTTTTTCAGCAGATATTTTAAGTGCAAATACAAAGGCTACTTGATTTCCTGAAAGTCTAAAGGTAACATACCTATGCCACCCCCAGCTCCCCAAAATGAAAGCAGTGTAACTTTTGCCAGCATTATAGTGCCTGTGATCTGTTTCCTATGTACTTTCAGATTGATCAAAAATTGGAAGGAAAACTTGCCTGGTATGTTTAAATTACATAGAAACTGGGTAACAGATTGCATCTTCCAGTGAGTAATCCTGTTTAAGTTTTGTGTTGATTCATAACATGCTAAGTAAATGCACCGTGGCCTTAAAATGTGTCACACAAGTAAGTATGTCTAAATTTAATTGATGGATTGCAATCTACACTTTATTGATGATCAATGTTTGCATCTTTTCCGGCATGTAATGTCATAGTTTACATGCTGTTTAAAAATTGACAGTATTCAAATGAAAGAATGCATTCCTAGTTGCAGTGAATAATTTTTAAATAACATGCAACAGTGTAAGTAATTTGTGGGTTGTTGTAGGTTTTTTCGGGTGATATGGCCATGTTCTAGAGGCATTCTCTCCTCTCCTAAGTAATTTGTGTTTCATTGCTTTTTTGCTGAGTACGTTTGCTTCAAAAAATGAGGGAGATTTTTCTTTATAAACTTAAAATAATGTCCTTAAACATTTTAGTTGGCTGTTGCTGTGTTTTCCCTTGCAGCATAGAGTGCTCTGTATGTACTATGCTGGCTCATGTTTCTTTTTCAGTTAAACCTCAGAGGGAGAAAAGTGAAAGAACAATTCAAACAATGTTGGTTGTGGCAACTGTGTGAGGTATCTCTTATACAAACAGAGAGAATGGATGGTATGCTGCTCTATATAGGTCAGCCTTTGAAATAATATAGTGAAGCTCATGGGCAGGACAGACAGATTTAGACTTGTGGTAATATGGTCCATCTCTGAAATTTGTAAGAGAACTGCATTTCAAGCAATTTTTAGGTTGGCATCTTAGAAGATGGA